CAGTTATAGGTAAAAAGAAAAATCAGTATCATGGTGGACAGATCAGCGTTGTATTGCTGTACAAAACAATAATAGAAAGTGTTTAGGAAGTTAGATTAGTGAGACATTTGTTTGAATGTTGAGGGTAAGAGGGATAGTTTGAGCAGCTAAAAGGAAATATTGGAAAGATGGTGTAGTCTGAAATCATTCGTCACTTTTCCTGGGTCCAAACGCTCCTTCAGAGCCCAGAAGCAAACAATAAACAGTGCAAATATACACTGTAATTTTAGCAAAAAATTCCTGATCCTAACCTTTATCTCCATACCGAGACTTCAGATGGCCAGACAGTGATTCATCTTTTCTGAATCACTAAAATATGTGTCTGGGACACTGTCATCCAGAGACTGTGAGATTGAAAGCTTAACTTAATGAACCGACATCACCCTCATTCCCTTGACATTTTAAATTATTGCAGAAAACGAGCTCTTTGACCAACAACAGTTTATGATTCTTACATGTTTTACTCATCGTGATAAACTTCACAAATGAACACAACCTTTATAGATTATGAAGCCTAAATTCAATCGCCAGAAGTAAAAAGCTAAGCGTAGGCTATAAACATGATCATAAACACAGTGAGGCTGTGAAGTGACTAGGGATCTCCTGGAGAGCTACTGTCCTGCAGACCCTGGACACCTTGATTATCTGGTTCAGGTGTGTTCGATTGGGGTTGGAGGTGAAATGTACAGGATGGCAGCTCTCCAGGAGCAGGGATGGTGACCCCTAGACTAGTGAGTAGATGAGTTTACCTGTCGGCTTCAATTGTCCTCTGTAGGCATTTAACCAAAAAACCCATTCAAAAAACACTGGAACCAGAAGTATTAAAATGCAACCTCGTTTCCAGAATTCGGACAACAAAAATATGTCTCCCCTGCAGCACTCCATAGCACACCTTACAATGTTCATCACCTAATCAGATAAAAAAAAAAAAAAAAGAGGCAAAGACATTACCCAGTCGCAGCAGTGGGGTGGTTACATTAAAGACAATAAATGAAATAAAATGTGCTCAAACACATAAAAAACATCTCAGTAATTCACACAAAATGACTTCATCAGTTCATCAGTCAACGTCTTATGAAGCAAAAAGCTGCATGTTTGTAAAAGACAAATCCATCAACAAGATATTACTAACTTAAAACCGTTGCTACTGGCCAAAATACGAGTCCTCCAGTGAAACGTGGTGTGGTCTGAATCAGGAGAGCAATCTGCACAGATCAAGCACTGTTTACAAGCCAAAACTGTCCAAAACAGTTTGGGTGGATTTTGATGCGAGAACAAAACGGGATGACATTTTTCACTGGAGGAAGCATTATTATGGATCATGGACGCTCTCAAGGTATTTTGGACAAGCAACATTTTAAAGTTAAAGGTGACATATTTCATATAATTTTACAATGTGTAATATAAGTCTCTGGTGTCCCCAGAATGTGTCTGTGAAGTTTCAGCTCAAAATACTCCACAGATCATTTTATTATATAATTTTGAAAATGCCTATTTTGAGTGGAAGCAGAAACACGCTGTTTTTCGGGCCTGTGTCTTTAAATGCAAATGAGCTGCTGCTCCCCGCCCCCTTTTCCAGAATAGAGCTTCGCCATTACAGCTCGTACCTGCTAAAAACATCGTGCGTTTTAAACCATATGAGTTTAAACTTCTGATATAAGGTTTTCTGAGCGATGATATGTCACCTTTAAAACATCTTGATGGATACCGAGCTTTTCGCTTCACAATATGTTAACTGATGGACTGGAGTGGTGTGGATTATTGTGATGTTTTTATCAGCTGTTTGGACTCTTTTTCTGACGGCACCCATTCACTGCAGAGCATCCATTGCTGAGCAAGTGATGCAATGCTGCATTTCTCCAAATCTGTTCCCATGAAGAAACAAACTCATCTACATCTTGGGTGGCCTGAGGGCAAGTACATTTTCAGCAAATTTTCATTTTTGGTAAACTATTCCTGGGCCCCTTTAAACTGTGTTCAAAAGGGGTTTAAAAATCAGTGGGAAAAGTCAATGATGACAGATTTTGATGTATGCAAGTTCAAAAGATAAAAATGCAATTCATGGACCCATTAACGTTTCCTGTGCTTTTCCTTCAATATTGTGTGGTGTTTGCAGCATCTGAATCCATTACCTCTAAACATTCATTGTCCTGTAGTGAACTTTCATTCATACCTCACTGCATCTCTGTTCAGATGTGTAATTCATTACGCACTAGATTCTAGGCTGGGAGTGAAATCTCTGAGCATGCGCTATTCGGGACAGCTTTTTTTCTCCTGTATCCACTTAGAGGCGTTTCTGTGAGTCGGGAGTCCCCACGGAGAGATAAGCCTCGCTGAAATCAGGGGCCACGTTACAGGGACCGACACACATATACAAGCCCAGATGACGGGGAGCCTTTGTGGCCTAATTGTGCAACTTGGCTCTACTCCCAGGCTGAACCCTGAGCAGAAAACAGCTCATGTGAAGAGAATGTGTTCTCCTCTGGGCCAACAAAACATTTGCACAGATTGCTCTCTTGTTTTGGGGGAAAAGATAATGCTTGTCTTCTTTCAACCCCCACACTGTACCTAACCTAAAGTCAATGTTAGTCAATGCTAACATTAAACTAATGCTAACTAATGGGACCTTATTGTAAAGTGTTGCAAACCTCTAATAATTTATACCTGAAAAGCATGTTTTTCCCCACATACATTGCTGTCTGATTTTCTCTACACATTTTGCTTTTACTTCTCACATTTTTCAAAAGAAAGGGATTAAACGACTAAATGTAATGATATTACTGATTTAACTGCACTGATACGATCAGATGAGAACAAAACATGAAACTCAAATTGAGCTGGATAATGACACTTCTGTAGAGCTGCTTCACAGCTGAATTTGTTTCATTAGTGAATCGTTTTACAAAAATTGCTGCTTTGCAACAATTTGTACCATAAAAAAAACGCTATATAAATGTGACTAGACATATGGTATGTTGGAAATAAATCAGCTGTTTCATATGTGGCCATTTTATTGTTGAAAGGCATACGTTGCAGTGCAAACAGTCTTTGGCAAAAATACAATACAAAATATAAGAATCATTTTGACCACTTGAGCATGTTCAGTCTTGCAGGGCAGTGCATGTCCATGGCAATGTGTGCACAGTTTGGTTTGGGGGAAGATCTTCAAGAGGTTGTTCGATCATTTAGGAAGGAAGGAAGGCCGTTTGGGAGTAATAAAACACTAATATAGAGTCACACAACAGAGATAAAAGAGTTGAATGCAGTCGCAAATGGTAAAATAACAGTCAGAAATTCAGCTGCTCTCAACACAACAGCAGTCACTTTCCCAATCACTAACCAGCACGACTGCAAGCGTACAAGCAGACAGTAATTGTAATGGGGATTCAATGGCGTTTCATACAGTGGAATGTTTAGAGAGGAGCAGCAGTGCAGCTCAGGATATGGCTTTCGATTTCAGTGAGACTCGATGAGTCAGACTCCAAAAAAACAAAAACTAAACTCAAAAACACACCACAGCTCAGACGTCTTACCAGTGCAACACTTCTACTGATATGATTGGAACATCACACCAAGCTACTAAACAAGATTTTCCACAGCATCAAAGCAAAACTTGAGTCTTCAGTCTGAACTGAACATGACAAACACAATGGCAAAAGCACAGATAACACGGCGAACGTCTTGCTGGCTGCACAGTAACAAACATACAGCACGAGCAGTGTAGTCCGACTCACAAACAAATGACTCCTATCCAGTTCAAATGGTACAACATTATTTAGTGATTCCTTAAAAGCACTAAAACGTATCGTTAATGGAATCAGAACATAAATGCAACTCTCATCTCAAATATTGCTCTTCTGCTGGATAAAAGCGTCTGCTGAGTGAACGAATATGAATAGAATTGAACACTGGATGCTGAGAGAGTAGTGTTTCAAGTGATGTATTGTGATGAGGCACAACTGTTTACATCGCTCTGAACACTGTTTGAAAAGGAAGGAAACATCTGGACCTTCATTCATGACAAGAATATAAATACTGGGCCGGTAGATCAGAGCATTACAGAAAAGTACAGTAACACCCTAAAAGAGAGCCTGACGTAAGCTCAGTGCTGCACTTCCCAAACGCTTCACCTCAGTCGCTCCCAAACCAAAAACATCTAGAACAGCTTTCTGTCAAGATAAAGCAAAGAACACCAGGTCTCAGAAAACCCGCAGTTGCCAAGGGAAACAAACATTTGGTGATCAGTAGAGTTTTTTTTCCCCATTGCAAAGATAGATTTCAAGGTATTCACATTTTTCTCCACGTGAGAGGAAGATAAAAAGCGGGACCTAATATTCTACATATGTCCAGAATATGATACTATGCACCATAAACAAAGTAAAAGTATGAGTAAGGTTTACAATTTCTTTAGCGTAACTACAAAACGAAGGGTTTTCGCTCAAGTGTGGTTTTAAAAAGCTCATAATGAGTGTATATACTGTATGGTGCATTGCATATTGCAAAACAATTAAATGCATAAAACAACACTCTTGAGACTCGGGTAAATCACTTAAATGGAGTAAGATAGCACCAGTTCTTCAGCATCCCAAACCTGAGAATGCTTCTTCCGTAAAACAACCAGAAATGAGAAACTCGGGTCCTGGAGTGGAGAGTTCAGCTCCGTCCCCAGTCAAACAAACACAGTTAGGCCTAAATTTAAGTTATGCATTTGAATTGCATATCAAATTTCCATCCAGTTGTTTTATACAGTTTTAACATCAACTAATAAACTGCGATGCACATGTGTCAGTCACACATTAATGAAACAAGACAGATTTCGGCACTCAAAAAAAATCATGGCACAGTTTATTTGTAACTCTTTGCATCTATTTGATTTGATCTAAATATGAATATTTTCAAAATGCATTCATTTATTTTGCTCAGAATAAGCATAAATCTGTTCACGGTGAAAACAATTACATTTATTATAAGTATGAACATGGTTAAAATATGATTACCTCTGGAACAAGCAATAATCAGTTAGTTAGAATGTATGAGATTGAAACACATTAAATGTAATGATGATAAATATATAAACCTGGTTACTGGTTATTCAGTTTAGAAATCTTACCCGTTTCATTGAAGTATAACTGACAAATATGTATCGCATTGATGCTACTAGAAGTCCAAATGCACAGAAATTTGATATGCAATTCAAATATGTAAATCTCAAATTTAAACATAAATATTTTTTGAATGCAACTGACTGTAATTTTCAAGACTTTGGTTTGGTGTGTTTGATTAGTGATAAGAGCTGAACTCTGCAGGAAAGTGTCCCTCCAGGACCGGAGCCGCCCATCCTCGGTCTCGTAAACGAACACTTTGGGTAGTCGTCTCCCGGTTAACATGCCTGAGGAGGAAAACAGGGCCCCAACATTCATCTGTTCAAACACTTTTTAAGGCAGTGTATTTTTGGTTCTTTGTTTAGGGCATCTGAGGATATGCAAACAAAAATACCAATACATGACAAACAACAAAAAACCCTGAAACGCAACTATCGAACAAATGGAGGCATGAGCTCAAGGTTACATTGGTTAAGTGTCCTGAGGTTATACGTGGCGCTCGTTATCCTGCGGTTGTGATGGCTGGTTGAGGCACACGGGGCAGCATGAGCCTTTGGGCGTCACTGGCTTCAGACATGCTGTCTGCGGACACTTTTCCACGAAACACGTCACCTGGGCCTCCTAACAGAGACAGAGACACAGGAACACCTGAGCTTAAAATGGGACAATATTTCTGCAGGAATCATCACAGGTATGTGTCTTTCCTTTACTTGTGGATTATTGTGGTGTTTTTATCAGCTGTTTGGACTCTCATTCTGACGGCACCCATTCACTGCAGATGATCCACTGGTGAGCAAGTGATGCAATGCTAAATTGCTAATGCTAAATTTCTCCAAATCTGTTCACACGAAGAAACAAACTCATCTACATCTTGGTGGCCTGAGGATGGGTGAACTATAACATTTTTGGGTGAACTATTCCTTTAAACTACATGTGATTGACTGCAGATTCTATCCCAGATTGAGTTATAATGTTACAATGACACACAGTACCATGTGAGGGCATTTTTCAGTTTTTGACAGCTAAAGTTCCCCCTAGTAATCAGTTTGTCTACTGATCTATCTATCAACAATTATAAGTACATGAGAGTGATAGAATCCTGCATATTCATTTGCAGTGACATAAAGTAAACACAGATGTAACAGACATTTCATATCCAAAACGAACACTCACTAAGTGCCAAAAGTGAGTAGAATTTGGCATTATTGAGTACATAAAATCTTCTCAATGAGTCATTTGGTAAATCATAAATAAACTATTCCAAATGATTTTAAACACAGCCTAGTGAAACTTAAAAGTGTGTAATACAGTTGAAAATCCATTGTTTTTGTTAAAATCAATAACAACGCTTGAGTCTCTGAAGGTGTACTCAAACAAAAAATACACTACATACTCCACTTTCCTGTAACCCTGCAATTTTTGATACAGTCAGAAAAACAATGCTACTGTACAAGCAAATTGCAATATATATTGAATATTATCATGATATATACTGAATACATCACTGTGCATAATAACAATAGCAAAATTAACGTTTAAACTTTTAAAATGGAAAAGAAATGCTTCTCATATATTACATTGTTTGTTAGTAACGCCATGCCAGCTTCGGTGGCTATTTTCATGGCGAGAAAAATGTATCTCATATATTACATTAAAGGTTGTGTATCACAGCTTATTGCAGTTACACATTTTAATGTTTGACTCTAAGGACAATTTTATTTGCTTTTGGTCCATAAACAATTCTGTAATCCTGAACCAAAGCCAGTTGAGAATCACTGCTTGAGATAAGTCAAATGTTTCTGTGTCTAGAGTTCACAATACCTTGAACATTGGTACATTGTGTAAAACTACCGTGTTCACATGCCCATGAATGCAAGTAAAAAATGCAGCACAGTCTACATGTTGAATGCAAGTCAGAAATGCTCAATGCACTGATAAACTTACATGACACTGACAGGTGGTGCAGGGGTTCTTCTTCCAACTCTCTCCATCTACTCGCTCTCTCCCGTCCTCATCTGCACAGTCTGTCCTGCTCAGACGGCCTTCAAGTCTTTTTATCTGTCAGTTCCAACAGTGAGAAATAGTTTTTTTCTTTTTTTTTTATGTCTACTCTTTGCATTACAATAAATGCTACAGTATATTCTGTTTTAATGCACCATACTATACTGATTCATATTATAATGTGTGGGAGTGAAAGGTAATGGCAATAAAATGACTACTTTATTAATTGTTATAAAAGTTATTAATTGTGAATGAGCAGTTACTTTTTACAAACAGGTGATATAGAGTATAATCAGTTATTTTGCAAGTAGGATGTCTTTCTAGATCAACATCTTTTGTTCTGCTAATTCACTGCTTTATCTGGTATCGGATAGACTTGAAAACATCTATTGTGAAGTGGACAAAGAAAATATGGAAGCTATTTTTTATATCACTGTGACTGCCTTGTGTTATTAATCAAAAGAAGTGTCTGGAAAGTTTGATTCTTGGCCTGTTGCACATTTTCAGCATCTCGGCATCACTGCCAAACGCTTGTGTCTGAGCAGATGGCAATCGTCCTTATCTATTCAGCTTACCAACAAAAGTCAACTAATTCACAAATTTCTGCGACTGGATTTTCACAAGGTTTATATAAACAGATAACAGAAGTATATAGTGCAGCTTGGCATTGCATTGTACCAAGTGAATCATGAGTCCTAACCTGTTTTCGTAAACTTGTGATAGTTTTCTGCATGTCGGCAACAAAGTCTTGGAAATCCTTAATGGAGGGTTCAGTGCTTGACTTTGGTGATACAGTTATGTTTATTGCAGTTAGAGCTTCTTCCAAAGCGCTGAAAAACAGAAATCATTAAAAGTATGATTGATTGATAAATAAGCTTTAACAAATTAAATTATGCATTATTTGTTATTACTACTATAGACCCTTTTCACAGACTGTGATGACATTTCCACAGTTATTTTCATTTAAAAAAATAATGTAAATTTGATATAGTAAAACACTATACTTTCTGTTTTATCACCTTGGCATTACATTTCAGAAAACTGGTTATTTTTTTCATCTTTTAGAAAGACATACACTGTAAAAAATGACCGTGAATTTAACTGTAAAAGACTGTAAAAATGCTACAGTAAAAACCTGTTAAATGGCTAACTACTATATACGGTGAAAAACGGTTTTGGACATTACATGTAATTTTACGGTAGTATATATATTTTGTATACTAGTGAATAACCGTAAATTGACATTCCCCGAATTCCCTGCTTTACATTTCAAATTTGATGTTTTTTTGTTGAAATAACTATGTTCTCTTATCAGTTTTGTAAAATAGGGTTGTGTGTTACACCTAATGTTGTTAAATGAATGTTTATTGCATTATTTCAGTTTCATGTGTGTTACCATGATGGTGTTT